GCTCTCCATCGTAGTTCTTCAGGCAAATGATGCCTAGAGGTCATTATTACGAATTGGCTATCTCAGATTTTCAATGTCGCAATCACAGTAAAATTTGTGTGCTTTCTCTCAAACTTGGACTTTTATGCTCCAGGCAGATGACGTAAGCCGAGTGCAGCGCCACTAATTTGCATATTGCAATTTTACTCAGCTACTCTTAGTGGACAACATATGCAAATTTTGCACGGTTTGGCTTACTTTTGAAAGAGTTATCGCTATTTTTGTGATTTTTCCTTAATTTATGATAACCAGTGTAGGTACCTCTCAGAAAAACCTAGACAGACCCCTGTAGTTTATTTTTAATTTAAAAATTTAATATTGTAACATTTAGTTAGAGTTGAGTTGAGATATTTTAATATAACATTATTAAATTATTTACTATATCATTATTAAAATAAGATTATTGGATTACATTTAAAAAATATATAGTAAATAATGTAATTACTTATTGTTTACAAAAGAATTTTTTTAGAATGTATAGGAAAAAATTTGCATAAATTATTGTGGTGAAATATTATTGCACTACATGTTATTGTTGTTTAAGAAGTATAAAGTATTAAATTACTGTTATGGCAGGTACTTGATTTTACTGAAGATATAAAGCTCCATGAAGCAGAGGAGCCATGGAAACCATCTTTTAAATTAAAACGATCAAGTGAAGCTAATTATGGAACATCAGTATGAATTTTTCTCTGTATTAAAATTTTTGTACTAAATATTTGATTCATTTTTTCTAATTATTGGCACCTCTTTCTAATGTTTTGGGGAAATTGCACAGAATTGTATTATATTAATATTTGTAGTTTAAAACTGTATAAATTTCAGCCTAATTCTTGTTGTCATTTATCCCAACTTTTGTAACTTTCACTTGGTTTAAAAAATGTTTAAAAGTTAAAAACTGAATGCTATGGAAGAAACACAAGATGTTATATTCACAACAGCCAGTTTAAAATTTTAAAAAAATTTTTAATTTTAGAAAGTTAATAAAAATTAAAGTAAAGGTAAATAACAGTTATTTTAACAAAAATTGTTTGAAATGTTTTTATTTATTTTTGAACTGAGATTCATACTTTTCAAGTCTGCAAATATAAAATTCATAAATGGTGGAATTACCTTTTTTAAGGTAACAACATTTTCACAATTGTGTATTGCAACAATTAAGTGTGTGGGCAAATTATTTAAATTACTGCAATCTAAAAGAAGCAAATTATTAGGTTTATTTTAGAATTTTGTGTAATAAATAGAGATGAACTAATGTATTGTCGTATGATTTGTAGATTATGACATCCATAGAGTGAAGTTTTAAATATTATTATTTCAAAATGTGTTTTTGACATTAATACAATGTAGATAAAAAGAATAATAATTGCTTTTCATAGAAGGGAGGAGTAATTTATTATTAAAAAATTTGCCTGTAATAGATTTTTTTAACTCTTATTTTGCTACCTATAATACTAAATAGTTAATTATTAAATTTAAAAACATATATTTTATTAAATCTGTTTAAACATATTTAAAGATGGTAAGAAATAGTTCAAAATGAAAATATATTTTAACTAAGCATAATTTTCTTGTATAAGATCAGAGAAGAAAAAAATTTAGAAAAGTTCAAGAAATTTTCTTTTTTTAATTTTTCGAAATTGTTATTTGTTTTGAAAATTTTTTATAATTATGATTTTAATTTTTTTTTTTGTAGGTTGAAAAGAAATTAAAGTGCAATGCTTTAAGCATATTGAATAAAATTACACCTGAAAAATTTGAGTTACTTCTGAAACAACTGGAAAAATTGGACTTTAAGGATGAACAAGCATCAAATGTTCTTATTTGTTTGATTTATGAAAAAGCTGTAAGGGAGCCTATATATAATAAAACCTATGTCAAAATGTGCAAATTCCTGGCACCAGTAAGGATAATTAATATGTTCTATGCATTATCTGTTTTATGTTTACAATAATTTACTGGATTTAATTATTTAATTCCTGTAATTTTTTTGTTAGCTTTCAATTGAAAATGCTATTAATACGAAGGAAATTCATTGTATATGCATGTTGCTTTGTAATGAATGCCCTCAAAATATATTTGCAGAATCCTTGTAAGAAATGAAGCGATGGAGTGACACATTAAAGGTTGCAAATTAATATTTAAGAAAGCAACAAATGAATACATCAAAATCTAATCACTACTGATACAGATGGCTTTGAAAGCATCAAAACCTATTTGATTGCTGTAGGAAATAGAGAGGAGTTGAAGCACCTTCACGATTCAACAGTCAATCAAACTGCTTTTTATGTTTTTTATTTCAAATTCATTTGTAAATTTATTAATGCAATTTCTATTGTAGAAATTGCATTCTATGTAATACTGTTTTACTGAATTGCATATCTTAAAATTTATTGTTTTGCTAAACAGAATTAATCTAGTTTAAAATTTGTATTAAATTAATAACACATTTTTCAGTATTTAATATTTCAATTGAATTAATTTATCTAATTAGAATATTAAAAGCCCATTTAAAATTTTGTATTGCAATTACCCACTTAATTAAATTAGTATGACTCTTCTAATTTGTTAATTATTTCAGAATTTAAAAAAGTTTGTTTTTTATGCTTTTTTTTCAGATTAAAATTTCTTCATCAAATTTCATAGCAATGGACTTTCATTCTTTATTTGTACGAAAATGCCTCAAAGAATTTGAAAACGCTTTGCAGGATCAAAGAAAATTTACAGACAGTTTGGATTCTTATGTAAGTGTTATTATACTTATGATCAAATGCTGTATTATCATCCAGCCATTTACATCTTTTATCATTCAGACAATCTTTAGACTGAACAGTCCTTAGAATTTTTGGCAGGTGCAAAGCATTTTTTAAAAAGTTCTTAAATGTGCTTATTTTTTATTAAGTTTGTAAAATGTGCTTAATTTTATTTTTGTAAAGTAAAAGTTCTGTTCTCTCCTATGATGATTGTCATCATAAATTATTTAAAAAGTGTGGGTTCCACAGTGGTGTCATTTAATCACAATCATTTTTGATGTACTGACACCCGAATATCGTTCAGAAGCGACAATCATTTTGCGTGTTGGATGAACTGCTTGCAGGTTAACATGGGCATACACTGAGCCCGATTCATCAAAAAAGATTCCTTTACTCACACATACAACTTGCTACATCTTGGGAGAGACTCCAGAGTTTAGGTTTATCTTATACTTATGAAATCTAACTAAAAATCTCTCAATTACATTTGAATTAATTTTTATATGTTTTTTTTAAAAAATTTTATATCTATGCAAGATTCAGGAAAAACTAAGCAGATTTTTTTCTTAAAGTCAAATCTCTGATGAAATAAATTTTTGTTTTATTCTTTTTAAAAAAAAAATATTATAAATTCGGTGCTTTATATTTTGAACTGAAATAATTAAAAAGATTATATAATTATTACAAGCTATTCACAGGAAGAAATGACTTTAATTGTTTTCATATAAACTATATACTTTCAAAAATTTGTAAAGATAAAGGCTTAAGTTGTCAGTTAGATATCAAATGAAGAATAAATTAATTTAAATCTGAAAATACCAACAAAAAAATATTCTAAAGAGCAAGTCTTCCTTTATTTATTTATATATACAAATTACTTGTTTCATATTACCTGATTAAAAACTTCATTCGCTTCAAAAATACACAAATAGGAAATAACAGTCTACGTGTTTCAAACTTTTTGAAAATAGGCTCCCATTTTCAAGACTTGCCGGGCTTGAATGAGAAAAAACAAAAGTGATTTGAAATTAAAAAAACTTCATGTTGGCAATGACAAATGAAAAAATAAAGGTGAGAAACAAAACTTGGAACACCACAGTAGCCGAGAGAGAAAAGAGGTCAAAAACAGTTCTGGAAAACCCACAGAGGCTAAGAGAGTGGCTCAGGGTTAAATGCATTTCCACCTGCTATGTAGAGGTGGTGAGGAACAGAGGAATCAGTATTCATTTAAATAAAACAAGATTCCAGGTCATCAAGATGAGCTGATGTGACTGGGATAGAATTAATTTTGGCATTGTAAAATTGAATTTATGCCTAAGGTTCGAACATTGTACTGTAATTGCTGATTTCTCGAATTCTTGATAATTCACATATCTATTGTGTTCCTTAAATCTAAATTTTAGAGCACGTCTAGTTAGTCTAATGTAGCTAAAGTCACGCTGACTAGCTATGTGGTAAATGTCCCAGTGATTATCAAAGCTGATGGGATTTTTTAAAGACTTAAATTTGATTTTGTTAACAAGCCTAAAAATGATTTTGAAACTAAAACATGTGAGGATATTATCAATTTTATAACAAACAAGAGAAAGAAACGGTAAAGTGAGAAGTTCTCTATAAGGATTAGAAGAAGAGGGTCATTCGGGTCTAGTAGCTCAGCAAGAGCTGAATAGAAGGGTTAAATCAACGCTTAGTGGCAAGCAAGTGGAGGAAGTTAAGTTTGAAGTTTAAAGAAGAGTCAGAGCAAAGGTTCTGACAATTAGGGTGAATAGAATCAACATTAATTAAGTTATGTTACATTAATTAACATAATTTTTCAGTTAATTAACGTTAGGTTTTTCGTCTTTTTTCTATCTTGACTACCTTTGTATGTGGTTGGTACTGTGATAAATTGTTTTACATGATGATATGGGTTAAGAAAAAAATAACATTTTCCCTCTTAGTAAGAACTAAATACAGGGTATCTGCACACCTGGAAAGTCATAAAAAATCATGGAAAGTCATGAATTTCAGTATTGTACAAAATTTGTTATGAAGTGTCGTGATTTATCGTGATTTGAACTATTTTTTAAAAAAAATCATGGAAAATCATGGATTTAGGTCACCAAACTGGAATGGATTTACCCCCCCCCCCCCATTTNATACTTATGAAATCTAACTAAAAATCTCTCAATTACATTTGAATTAATTTTTATATGTTTTTTTTTAAAAATTTTATATCTATGCAAGATTCAAGAAAAACTAAGCAGATTATTTTCTTAAAGTCAAATCTCTGATGAAATAAATTATTGTTTTATTCTTTTAAAAAAAAATATTATAAATTTGGTGCTTTATATTTTGAACTGAAATAATTAAAAAGATTGTATAATTATTACAAGCTATTCACAGGAAAAAATGATCTTAATTGTTTTCATATAAACTATATACTTTCAAAAATTTGTAAAGACAAAGGCTTAATTTGTCAGTTAGATATCAAATGAAGAATAAATTAATTATCTTTTAAACTTCTGTGATTTCAGAATTTTTGTTATTGTTTATTTTTTTATTTTATCAATTTCAAAATCTAGCTGAAGCAAGCCAGTCATTGGCGAATTTTTTTAATTCCGAAATGAGAACAGAAAAATCAGGAATTAATAGTTTCAATTAATAGTTATTATAATGCTTTTTTTAAATTTATTGTTGTTTTTTTTTGTCAGAGAAAATAGTAACTTCATTAAGTCATAAAAATTTTTGGATTAGTCATGGAAAGTAATGAAAAGTCATGAATTTGAAAATCTAAAATGTAGCAGATACCCTGTAAATAAGATCAGACGAAATGTCTCTTGAGTTAAATCAGACTCAACTGAATCTCAGACTTGACTAAATTACAAATCAGACTCATGCGGTGTTAGGTGCATGTCCAATGAGAAAGAGAATCCAAAGATAATTTATTCTAAAAATTTTTTCATCTTTATTGAAAACCGCAAACTTTTTAAAAACAGGACTTTTTTTTGCTTTAAAAAATTTTTTGAAAAGAAGTCATAATTTTTTACTTTCACTTCTTCCTACAAAATTGTTGATTTTCCAATTAAATTGTTTCATGTGTTTTATCTCTGTCAATACAGCAGATTAGGAGAAAAGATTTTATTCAAACTTAATAAAAACAGATGTACTGTAATTTACAAATATTTTTTTCAAAATGAAAATATTACTTTATTCAGGATTTTAAATTATTTTTTAAACTAAAAGTTAGTTTTTTTTTAGGTATTTAGGTAGTTAATGAAAAACAGTCGAGTTTAATAGTCTTTATAATGTTTTAAAATGCTGGGAACTATCAACTCAAGAGTTTGATTTGTTAGTGATATTAATGTATGGGATATGGTACGTAATATTGTGTAGCATAACCTTTTAATATGTCTAAACGATAACGATTTTTTCTTGATAATTAGGTATAAGGTTTTAATATTTTTTAGGTTTATCCATATTTTTTGTTTTTCAATATTATCCTTGTGTTTCCTAACTTTGGTATTTCATCGCTGCATGTTATTTTTTATAATTGTTGTTCTAGATAATCAGGGAATTTCATACTTATTTGCTAGCTGTGTACTAGACAAAGCTTAACATGACAAATTTCTTCAAACTTTGTCATAAATGTATCAGCAGTGCGCCTGCTGATTATTTACTCAATCCTGTCGTTTTTTTTAAATATTTTTGTTGCATTTATTTCACACTTATAAAATGATAGTTATAGAAATTTTCATAATGATTGTAAACTACACAGCTTAATGATTGCTAGTGCATAACTTAATAGGATGATCAATTGTATATAGTTTTTCTGAATTATTTTTTTATACAAAGAATTCTATTCTTTTGGAAAAATTTAATCTTGTCTCTTTGTAAAAAAAAAAGAAGCACTAGCTACTTTAGCTCAATAAATGTAGGTTTAACATTCATTCTTGCTTTATCCATAATATATACACTTAATCAATCTATGTTGTTGTGTATATTTTATAAAAATTGTTCTCTGGTTACTTTTCCTTATTGACTTAGAGTTTGAATGCTTCTTAATATTAATTATTAAACTATTTATTATTATTATTTATATTCATGTTTTAATTTTCTTTATATAATCAAAAGTTGTAAAATTTTTTTCAAGTAATTATTTTCCCACTGATAAAATTTTTTTTTTATGATGTTCAAAAAGGTATTCACATAATTTGTATTTTAAAAACATTACTTTTAATACTGTTTTGGTTAGCTGTGAATGTCTCATTTTGCCTATTGGAAAAGATGTACTGTAATAATTTTATTAGAAAAAAGTATTTTATACTGTGCCATATTTATTTCATATTAGGATCTGGAAAAGCTTAAGGAAGAAATGTGGGAAGAGCAGTATAAAATCAAGTTTAGGCTTTTAGGAAATGTTAAGTAAGGGTAACAAAACCTTGTTTTAATTAATCTTATAATTTTAAAATATATTTCATAAAATAAAGTTTTATTTTTTCCAATTAGACAACAATATAAAATTAGATTGCCTGAATTTGAGAAATCGTGATAATGGACTATTTCTAAGTAATTCTATATTATTTCTATTGTTTTCTTTGAACTAGATATAACTGCCTAACACCTTAAACTTGTTATCACTACTTTCTAATTTAGGCACTCTAAGCATAAGGTCACATAATGGTTGGAAAATTTTTTTTGGTGTGTTTTTAACTACAAAGCTTTTTAATTTATCAAAGTATCTTTTCTAATTTATTTGTTGATTGATGTAGATTGTTTAAATATTTTTTGCGAATAATACTGAAATACTTCTTATTTATATTTTATAGATATAGTGTTGTTAATGTCATTTTTTTAGTGGATTAATAATAGTTACATTCATATGTTTCCATTAATATATAATAATGAAAGGATGCTTGCTCGTGCAAAAGTTTCATACGGATATATTTTGTATCTTACATGCAAGATTGCCAAGGCGTGTAAATTTGTTGAGCTTTTTTAAAAGTAATGATTTTATCTGTTGAGCACTGTTGTGGTACATTTTTTTCAATCTGTAATTTGCACTATATTTCTTTGCTAAAATTATTCATAGTTAGACAACCCAATTCTTTGAATGCCCTTTTACAGCAAAGCATTACTGAGACACATAATTGGAATATCATTAGACATGGGGCTGTTCAAATATTATGTAAAAACTTAGCCGGGAGAGCCCCCTCCTCCCATAATGTAACTATAATTGAGATTTGCTTATTTTTGTTGCCAAGAGAGATTCCAAAATCACCAAAAATGTAATATTTGAATGGTCCCTAGGTGAATCACTAGAGCAATGTGGTTGAGACACAGGTGTTTTTGATTCAGATCAGAGTTCCGTCTAAAACCTATTAAGCCTCTGATAGATGAGTACCAGCTGTTACACAGTGCTGACCATATTGCTGCAATCATGCAGTTAATCTCAAATTTGTGAACTTTAAATTAAAATGTGAACTTTTAAACTTAAAAAAATAGTTATCAAATATTTATTTTTTAAATTTATAAGCATGTGCAGTGCCAGTCACCTATTAAAATCACGTTTCTTCTAAGAACAATTGATTTTATAAAGTAACTGATTTTATAAAGCGTAATCTCGTTACTTAGGAAAATAATCTTAAAAGTTTAAACTTTACAAAGACGCTGGAAGCTAATTTGAATACTACATTTGCATTTTACCTTCGGTATTTTAATTTAAGCTGAACTACATTTTTTTAATTTACAAAAGGGTTTTGATTTTTTAGCTTATATATTTGCTTAGCACAATTTAAAATTAAAAATTTGACATGGTTTTAAAGTTTATAAAATTACTTTTTAACTTTCAATATTTCCTTTTCTTTGTTGTAAAGTTCATTTTAAAATATCAATCGTTTTTCTGGCATCTATAGAATATAGATTTATCTTATTAAATGAGGGATGATTATTGATGTTAAATGATGATAGCCATTTTATAACTTTTCTTAATTCATAAAAAAAATTTCATTTGAATTTCTTTATACTTTCTGTTTCTTAATTTTTTAACTCTCACCCTTCAATTTCCCTAAAAAATGTAATTTACACCTGCAATTTTGTTCTTTTGGGCACAATAAAATTCATTATTTATATGCTTTCAAAACTTGAGAAAAATTGAAATAAACAGTGTTTCTAATTATTTTAAACATAGATGCCCTACAAAAATTTGATTTTATAAAACAATTATGATTTCATGAAAAGATGATATTAGCATGTTTTGAAATTAGGATTCCGTTCTTTAAGATTTAATTTTAAAATGAAGTTGATTTTATAATCCAGTGATTATATTAGTATCAATTACTGTATAATGATTTATTAGAAGTTTTCATCGTATTTGCTTTCATCCTATTTGTTTCATATTATTTGAATGCTTCTAAAACTGTATGTTTTTGTGTTATTTTCCTTTAGGCTTTTAGGAGAACTTTTTAACCAAAATATGTTACTTGAGTCAGATGTGCAAAATTGTCTTAAAAGGCTGTGCAGTGAGGGGGGTGAGGTGTTGCTGGAAGCTTTATGTCTTATGTTGAAAACAGTTGGGAAAAAACTGCTTAAATGCAATAACCCAGTTTATATCAGTGAAGTAAGTACTTGTATTTTGTACTTTTTCATAAAGCTGTACTTGTGTATCTTAATTTTTTTCTTTAAGATACTTTTAATTATAACAATTATTAATTCAAAATAACAGAAGCGTTGTGTTTACAGAAGAAAGTATAAAGAAAATTGTATAAAATTTTTAATTGTAAAAGTAATATTTTTTTAATTTTAATATTATAGGCACTTTCTTGCATTTTGTAGGTGGAAAAATTTACTAATTATTTCCTCTTTCAAATTTTGTAAATCATTACAAATATTAAAATTCATGAATAAATGAAACGATAAAAAATTTAAATTTGTACATAAATTAAAAATTGTAAAATCCATGCAGTAGTTCTATAATAAAAATCGACGACAAAATCATGCGAATGGGACTCTTTAAAAGAAAAGATACTCAACAAGTGTGTGTAAAACATGGTGTTCTTTAAAGGAAAAACAAAATGAAGGAAAGCACATCATTTTTAATTACGAACTATCTTTTAAACATTTTGCTTGCGATTTCTGAATTTCTCATTTTATATTATTAATTTTAAATTTTAGCTGAAGCCAGTCATTACGGACTTTTTTTAAAATCCCAAATAAGAATAGAAGAATTACAATTATTTTTTTCCTCTCTGATGTGCAAAAAAGACATCTTTGAAAAAAAATTCTGCAGAAAAAGAAGAAAAACATTTTTCAAAAAATTATGCAGAAAGGAAAACCAAAATTTTTTCCTTTCCAAATGAAAAATCTCTCTGCAAAAACTCTGTACCGTTCTGTGACACGGCGACAATGTCGCCGTGTCACCGCAGTTCTACCACAGGTCTGCCAACTCATGATAATCTGATAGGACCACCAACATTGTTAGTTTAGACTTATTATTAGATTTGGTTTTTAACTTTAAAATAATGACATAGTCTTCTTCTTGGTCATAATAGTCTTCTTGGTAGTGGATTCATTGTTTAAGTTTATTTTCTCCTTTGTTTCTTAATATCATATTCTTCACCTTTTTTTTTTATATCTTTCTTTTTCATGATTGAATTTCTATCTACATTATTAATGAGTTTAATTTTTACTTCCAAAATAAGAGTTTTTTACTTTCACTTTTAAATCTTTGGCTATAGACATCTTTTCCATACAATTTGTAATAGAGAGTGATAACAAAACAAAGACTAACCTGAACTTTATGGGATTAAAATGAATGAAATAAATTTGATTGCATACATCTACATTAAATCCTTTAATTTCCAAGTTACAATGTAATACAGGGCAGTATTGAGTCTAGCAATGCAAATTACATAAATAGAGCAAAGCAACTTGTTGTTTTTGTTACAGTAGAGGAATTGAGAAATTAAATTTTTACTATGAATATTCTTTCCCTTTTAATAATAAAATTAAATGTTAATTAAAATGTTTCTAATAATCTGTTTTCTTTTCTTTTTTTCTTATAATTCTAAGTGTGATTTTATTTCTATTTGCTTCAATTTTCCAGATTCAATAAATAAAAAATTTGCATTGTAGATCGCACGAATAGTATGAAATTAGCATGGTTTGTTTTTTATAATTAACTTTAAATTATTGAAATTTAAATGAAGCAAAACTAATCAATTTGAATTATATCACTTTTGTTGTACTATATTTGTACTGAGATAACTCATTTCTGACATATATTTAAATCTTAATAGAAGAGTTGGATTCTGTTTTTGTTTTTCGTGTACATTATGATATAAAATATCTTTATCGTTTGGCATATTGTGGATCTAAGTTCCATTGGGATAACAATGAATTTAGAGCATATAATGTAAATCCCGAAATGTCACATAGTTTCCTAAAGTGTAATTATGATAATGTTTGTTAATTTAGTTATGGTTATTTCATTATAATTCAATTTTTGTAATTTTCCTTGTTTAAATTTGTTTCAGATAAACCAGCATCTGTAATATCATTCAGTTGTAATAATTTTAAGTGCTTGAATTGCTACTACTTTCAATTAATTAATTTGTTTTTCCAGAGAGAAGACATCTTCCAAAAAATGCAGAATATAGTTGATAAACATTTGGCTAGCACTAGAATCAGATTCATGATACTAGATGTTATTGATTTGAAAGAGGTAATTGTTTAACTGTTTGGGATATTCATATATTAGTTTAAGAATCTATTTTGCAAATTATTTTTGCCAACTCTTTTTAACTTTCAAGCGGGCTGCTAGATATTTCCAGTTTTTATCTACTTTAATAAAAAATTCTCTGAATTTTTGTAGAATTTAAAAGATTTCCAAAAAAAGGGAAGATTCATGAAGAAAATTTCTGTAATTTTTTAATTATTTATTTTTTTTAAGTTTAAACAAGTAATTTTACTAAATATAAGACTCAAATGTTACTAAATATAAGAGTGAGACTCAAATGTAAATTGAATTTTTTTTTTTAAAAATGTGATTTCTTCAGTTTGTATTAATTTTAATTCTCTTTTTTTTAATCTCTTTTGAAAATAGAATACGAATATAAATTTTTGTTTTGGAATTATTTTTAAAATGTATATTAATATCCATCTAAAATTAATTAGATGTGTTTTACTATTCAAAATTGAGAATTTAAGATTATAATCAGCTCAATAAAATATTTTTGGATTCAAGTTTATGTAAATGTCAACTTAAAACTATATTACTGTTAATGCACTTTTTGAGTGTTATTTCCTTTTATTGATTATAAAAATCTCTAATATTTCTTATCTGTGAAATATAAGGAGTTCTGTATTGATACAAAAACTAAATAAAATGTCTCTCGTATTTCTATTTTTTGCATTATATTACTCACATAAACAGTTGGAAAATGTGTTTCCGTCAAAGGAAATTTATCACATTTCTGAAAGACTAGTCATTTTTAGTTCGTTATAACTATGATATTTTAATATCTTTAATTTTATTATTTAGAGGATCATTTGGAAACATTTTCAATGACATTAATTTAGTTTTATGTTTATTTTAATACAATTACTTTAAAAAACTATCAAACCTGTATTTTACATACATAAATAATGAATAAGAACTTGCTCTGGCTAGGGAAATTTGGAATAATTTATTTTTTTGATGTTTCCTTATCTAAATTTAATTTTTTATCTAATTTAATTCGATATCTAACTCACAAATGAGGTCTTTACAAAATCATGATGGTATTGAACTTGAATGAAAACAACTATGATTTTTTTCATTAATTAGTTTTTAATAATTATAAAATTATTATAAAAATTTTAGTTAGAAATATTAAGTACTTCAGTTAGAAATTGTGTTTTTAAATTGTATTAGGTGTTATTAATATATTTTATCAGAATGGTTTAAATGGTATTTATTATAAAAAAAACTGATTTAATTTTTAAAAAAAAATTGATTTAAATCAAAATATCGGCTTTTTTTTAAAATTTTAATTAAGTTATTAAGTTAAGTAAGTATTAAGTTATTAATATATTTTATCAGAACTGTTTAAATGGTATTTATTATAAAAAAACTGATTTAATTTTAAAAAAAAAATTTATTTAAATCAAAATATCGTTTTTTTTTAAAAATTTATTATTATATATTTTTTACCGATTTCAGCTATAAGTGAGAGAAGAAGCTTGCACAAGTCTATTGTTGTAATTTTTATAGAGTGGTATTTTAGTTATTCTGGATTCATCAATACCAGTGGTCACATTTTTACTAGATCAGTTTTATGTTTACTGGAACTACTTGTATATGCTGATGATGTTGATGGAATTGCTCATTTCCTTCCTGCCCTGAACGATGCATTTCTCGCCATTGGGGTGGTTGCAATACAAATGGACTTAGTCATAAATGTCGAGAAAGCAAAATAAATGTTATTCTCAAGTAACAAGAGTCCCAGACCCCTATCTTGAAATAGATTCTTATAGATTTGAAACAGTGAGGAGTTTTACTTACTTAGGATTAATTATTACTATTGAAAACAGAACGTTTCCTGAAATAAAAAATGGACTCTATTTGGCAAATAGGGCTGCCTGTGGACTGAGAAGATTTATTAAATCTAGGTTTCTTTCTAAAAAAGCAAAGTTCTAAAATTACAAAACTGGAGGAAAATTGTATTGCAATATTTGAGAGAAAGATTTTGCGTAGTATACCTGGTAGTGTAAATGAAAACAATAACTGGTGAAGGAGATTTAAAGTTGAATTGTACAAGATTTATGAACCACCTGATATTATTAAATACATAAAAATACTGTCAAACCCCGCTATAGTGAACACGGTTTATAGTGAACTCTTGGATATAGTGAAGAAAATGTTCTGTCCCGTGCCTTGCTATGCACGGATAATGTTATTTTTTGTGGATATAGTGAACCAAAAAAGTTAGGAAGTTGGATATAATGAACTTTTTTCTGTCTTCAACTGATTTTTTTTGTAATAATTTTGAAATTTCTACTTCAAAAAAAAAAAAAAAAAATACATACACCGATTTTCAAAACCATCTATAGAGAGGAATGTAGCGATAAGCATTTTTTCTTGTTTGCTTCTTTTATCTCACTTTCCCATCCCTAAACAAACAAAGCAGATGTTTCCAACCCAGGCAGACAATGCCTTTGTAAGGTGTCAGTCAGATCAATATGCATTTTATGTCAGAGGGAATGAGCAATTATTCATTATTGGTCAAGGGTTGGACACTAATATGTGTTGATAAGGCCCTCATTTCAAAAAATCCTGCAAACAAGTGTCTCAAATTTAACTATGGCGAGCAGTAATCGTAAAACGTTCTCCATTGATAATAAAATGGGCATAATCAGAAAAATTGAAAATAGATGCAATCAAGCTGATATTTTCAGGGAATATAAATTATCCAAATCTGAAGTTTGTAACATATGGAAAAATAGGCAATTAATAATTTCTGCTCATGAAAAAAATTTAGATGGCAGAAAAAAGTTGAGAAAAGCAGATCACAAGGAAGAAGCATTACTGAAGTGGTTCACCAAACGAAGTATCTAAACAAATGTCGATGAATTTGCTAAGCGATTTTATGAGACTACTTTTATGTACTCGAATGGCAGGTTAGACAGGTTTAAAAAGCGGAATAACAGAAATTCAGGAAAAATTATTTGAGAGTCGATAAATTTTTCCATATCTGATGTTGAGAATTGCTCATCAGCTAAAGATTACAAAATTTTTTTGTACGCAAGACAAAGAGTAATGGAAAATAACACATTTTTTGCTACTACATAATATTTTTCAGTCATTTATTTGAACAATGTGTGATAAAAGGGAAGAGTTTGGAAACCATTAGTTAGATTGCCTGCATAACGGATATAGTGAATTCCCAGTTATAGTGAATAGAAATTTCGGTCCCTTGAAGGTTCACTATAGCGGGGTTTGACTATAAATAGAATGAATTGGATGGCCCATGTGATTAGAATGAGTGGATAAACGAGGATATTGCTAAAAGATAGGATTACGATAGGAAAGATACAAAGATATGATTAAAAAGTTATTGCTTTTTAGACCTTCTGGAAAGCGGGTAAGGCCTCGGTTGAGTTTGTTTGATTGGGTGGAATCTGATTTTCTTGCAATTAATGAAAGGAATTGGAGATCAAAGATAAATCAGAAGGCATTATAGAGAAATTTTTAAAGGAAGGTCTTGGCCCACATTGGGTTATCTGGCCAACTATGATGAGGATGGTATTTTAGTTATAGCTTTAATTATTAGATTTATTTAACAATCAGTTTCAGTAATTTTTGTAGTAGACGATTTTTTTTCCTGTTGTATAATCTGCTGAATCAATAAACTTGTGACTATCTTTAAATATGGTGACAAATTCACATCACTGTTCTGCTTTATGTATTTTAGTGTACATTTTAATTCTAGTTGGGTTACATGTCAAAATTAATACTTTTCATTTACTCCTAAGTAGAATAACTGGATTTTAAGAAGAGAGGAAATCATTCCAAAAACAATAAAAGAAATACATAGTGAAGCTCTGCTTGAAGGAGGTGATAATGTTCAACGTAACAGAATTTCCCATAGCAAACAAAATAATACAGGTAATATTTGTTAAAATATCTTGAAAAACCTTACTAATAGTTCTATGTTGAATTCTAATAATTTTCTGTTAGACGTTAAATGATGATTTAAATTTTTTTAAATCTTAAAATATAACATACCACAAATAATAATGATAATAATAATAAAAAATGCTTACCAAAACTAGAAATTAAAAGCAAAAAAAAAAATATTTTAAATTTTTTTAAAAATAATTTGTAAGATGCTTTATATATTAATTAGTGCATTAATGTGTAATCATTAATAAATATATAAATTGTTAAAGTGTTACTAATGATACTGACTTTATATTTACTTATGTCTTTATGCTGAATTTCCTATGTATAAAACTACCTTTACATTGGCCTTTTTTTCTTACATTGTAACAGTGTTTGAATGTTAGAAAAATATTTTCTGTCGATTTATTTATTGTTATGAATTGTTCTTTAATTTTAATATATGAAGGCAAACAAATATATGCAAAGTTCCTTATATAACTTGTGTTAATATAGTTTATTTACTTATTTTTTTAAAGTAAGAAGCTATTTGAAAAACCTGTTTTTGATTTAAAAAATAGCAAAAACTGTTATACATACAGAATAGGAGATCATTAATTATTGCAAATTGTTAAAGCATAGCTGCCAATTCTACTGGATTTTGCCAGTTTCCCCTGCTGTACTGGTTTAATAAAAATTATCCTGGATTTTGTAAATTTTAGATAGTTCCCTAAAATTATATAAGTTTCATAATTTTTTTTCATTGAAATAGAATTTTTTCATAATTAATTGCTTGTTTGAATATTTAAATAAATATTACTAATACATAATAGTAATCAGTTTATTTTTGTTCAGAACTCTATTTTTAAATTAATCTTTTTAATTATCAATAATAAATTACTTGTCTATTACTATTCAAAAATTATGAGTTAACATAATAAAAAACATTTCAAATTCATTTAGTGTCAATTAGAAATGGAAAATATTATTGAGAATTTATTAACGTAATAAAATTTTTGTATTTGAGGACAATAACAATCCCTAAAATTCCCCATATATAAAATATTTAGTATATTACGCAACAGTTAACAAGAAATTTATAGTATTTTATAAAGTCTACTGGAATTTTTTTCCTTTTCATGTTGGCAGCTATATTAAAGATTCTTTTTTAGCTATGATATTATTTGCTAGACTATTAAATGATTTGTTAATAGTTAAAAATATATATATAACTGTAACTATTTAGTTATTTTTGTATTTCTTTTACAATTCATTTCTTTTTTTAAAATATGTCAAGGAAAACTCTTTTTCTATTCTTAACTATTTTTTATTGTTAATTGATTAAATAAATTATGCTGACAAAAATTGGTTATTATATAATCACTAAGCCAGTGTTGTGTTGGTCAGTCAGTTGGCCACGGGTCAACTAAATTTTGAAATAAATTGCGATTAAAATTTTACCTGCTAATGACCACTAATTACCTGCTGAGAATACTCCATGTGCTCCAAAACGTGTGCTTTCAACTTCTGATATTATTTGTTATGAAAGAATGGTATAATCATCCCTAGATCAGGTTATTTTACATTGGTTCAAAATTTCAGGAATTTCACTAAATTCGATTAATAAAGATTTCATGCAAGTTCAAATTAGTATCATATTACATTTAATATTTAAAAGTAATGAAATTCATATAATTTCATCATTATGATTATAATTATTTCAGATTTATTTTGTAATGAATAAACTTCGTTAACTAACATAAATTTTATTTTGCGTTATTGGTTAAAAACTCTAATACTAAATTTTATTAGGAGGAAAGATTTTTAATGATAATTTTAATTTTATATAAACCTGCATGGAGATGTTGTGGAAGTTTTTCTTCATTTTAAAAAAGAACGTTGTTGTGTTTATTGTATTCAATTTTTAAAAAAATTGCCACATGTTTTAATAAAAAGTCACTATTAAAAATGTTTCTACTGGGCACTGGCGTTAAAACTTCGTAATTTTACCCTTTACAAGGCAGTGTGTTTTTAAACAATGTTTCTGCCTCCAGTTTTTGTAATAAATTAATGATGTAGTTTTTTCCTGAGGTATTCAGATATTCAACATCTGTTTGTAGAGTTCAAAATCTCAAAAAAAAAAAAAAAAATAAANAGGTACAAAAAAAAAAAAAAAAATAATAATAATAATAATTAAAAAAAAAAATTTTTAAAAATTATTTTCTTAAGTGCCATGTGTTTTTGGATAATTGATTGTGTTTATTCAGAAATTGATATAATTTTAATTTTGAACCTTTAACCTTTTTTTTTGTTGATAATTTTAATCATAATTTTAATTTTGAAGCATTTTGAAACTCCTAGCCTTGATTTTCTTTTAATTGTACTCTTAGACTAGACCTGTATTGTTTTAAAGTCACTCTTTGAAGCTTTTTATTTATTCATTTGTTTTATTTTTGCAGTGATGATTACAATTATAATTAAAACATTAATTTATTATTTTGAAAATGTTATGTGGATTGATTTCTGAAGTATTTAATTAATTTACATAGTTCCAATTATTAAAATATATGTATAGTCTTATAAGTGCATTTAAAGTTTTATCTTTTTATTAATTGTGATTGATTTAGTTGTACTTTGTTTATGTTCATTAAGTCAATTGAATTTATTATTGAATTAAGATTAAAAATTAGTTCTATTGCAGACCCGGTCGAAACAAGAAGCAAGCACCTTATAGAAGACTTCTTAGAAAACAAAGATCTTGAAGTAAACATATTTTCAATTTTGTTTCTATTTTTTGTAGCTTCATCATTCTAGTAAAATTTTAAGTTTTTTGTCTTCTCAAAATTTATTAGTTTTTCTTAGTTTTCTTACCGCTTTGTCTTAAATAGTTAATGATGTATGGCCCAAAAAAGAACTCATTTTGAAATCATTTTTAAAAAAGTTTAGCCCTGTTTTAACTTTTGTACAGTGTGTAAACAAAAAAGTAGGCACCATGAATAACTTTTTATCAAATGATTGGATTTTCAAATAATAGGACTTAATCTAAATGAAAATGTTTTGAGAGCCTTATCTTAAGCATGCTAATTATTTAGTGCATGTGTTATTTTAAGCTAAGAAATCAACCTCAAAAATGTACTTTCTCTGAATAAATATACTTTTCCACAGATTTGTGATCTTCAAAATATGAGAGATAGCTGCAATCTGGAAAATATAGTCCCAATAACTTCTGAAACTTTGGGCCACTTAATGTTAAATTTTTCTTTCGTATGTTTTTCCATCTGAGAGAAGTCTCATTTTTAAATTTTATATCTCAAAAACTATTCAAATTTTTGTTTTTGCCATTCAATATTGAATTAGTTAAAAAATTTTGTACTTCACAATTTAAAATTTTTTCGACTGTTATTAAAATAAATAGTAAAAAATAGTTTTAAAACCTATAAAAACTTTTTAACTAGCTTCGTTATTTCCAGAGATATGGTTAAATATGCTTTTAACTGTTTTCTTCACCAAACTATTGGGAGCATATTTTCCAAATTGTGGCTATTCCCCATATTTTGAAGATAAAAATCAGAGTCCATCAATAAAAAGGCCTGATTATTCAAAGAAAGTTAGTTTTTGTGTTGATATCATAACTGAAAATATCGTCTGCATAAATTAATTACCGTATTTAAGGTTAAGCTGTTGAATCCTAGTATGTGAAAATATGATCATGAGATAAAAAGTTATTCAGTGTTTTCCTTTTTTTTTTTGTTGTTCATTGTTCAATAAATTTTTTTTAAAGGAATGTTTTTTCCCATATAATTAAAATTTTATGTATTTAGATTAATATCTAAGCAGATGATGGAAGTGTTATCAATTTTTCAGAAACTCTTGAAAATTTACATTGCTTATTTACTTAAATTAGTATTTCACAGTGTTTAAGTGCTTTTTTTAGGTTTGAATAAGTAAATTTATAGCTATATTAAATATGATTTTATTTATTTTTAGCCAGTATGTCAGTATGTGAGCTCATTGCTTCCTAACAGAGTGATTGATTTCATAAATTCCTCTTTTTGCTTAGTTCTGGAAGGAAATCCTCAAAATAGAGATTCAGTTGGCGAATTGATATTTCAATTAGTGAAAAAGAAATTTGTTAAAATTGATCAGTTCAGAGATGGGTAAGTTTTTACATTTTTTATGACCACAAAGAACTAAAACAATTTGTAGATTCACTTATTTATAATTTCTGCATGTTTTTGAAACTAACTTTAGACTTAAAGAGTTCTTAAATGATAAAGTTTACATTCTTTAGTATGAAATCTCATTGCAGTGCAGTGCTTAGCTTTCTTTTCAAAGGATACAATAAAATGAAAAAACCTAAAATTGTGGTCAATCTTTTTTTGTTGTTGAAAAACCCCATTGGGTCAAAAATAGTCTTTGCTTGTCACTTGAACTTGCAAATAATTGTACTGTGCTCAAAATAAAAAAGTGATTGTTCTGAATGACGCAGATTATCATGAATTAAAACTAAATCTTAATAATTTTGTGGATTAATGGTCAAAAAAGAATTATCAAGAACTCATAGCTGCCAACTCTACTGTATTTTCTGTTTCTCCTAGTCTACTGGTTTAATAATAATTCTCCTTGTTTTTTTGTATATTTTAGAAAATTCCCTAAAATTGAGTAAGTTTTCTAAAAAAGTATTCCTATTGAAATGAATTTTTGCACAGATTATTGTTTGCTTGAATATTCAAATAGGTATTACTAATACATAATGAAACGATCCTTTAAACTCAGTTTAAAACTTTTTTGTTCTAAAATGTTCAGTTTATGTAGAGCTTCCTTTTTAAATTGATTAAAAAGCCTTTTAACTATCTTTGGTGAATTAAATGCTTATTACTATTCAAAATTATGAGTAAACCAGTGTTTTCATCAGAGAAAAAAAAATGGGTGAGAATTTCTCACCCTTTCTCAAAAACAGGGTGAGATTTCAAAAAGTTAAGTGAGATTTCTAAAAAAACAAAAACTCTTGAAAAAAAAATCCTTTCTTTAATTATAATACATTGTTAACGTCTTCTATTTTTTTAAAGCATTGAATATTTTTGGTGCATCATCATAGAAGATTTTGCCTTTACAAGGTATTTGTCCATCTTACATAAGTGCATAAAAATTTTGAACGTCTTACATGAAGAAACTTTACCTACGGTAAACGCGTGGTTGCAGAGAAATGTATTCTGAAAGGGGTTCCATGGTTGTGTTCTGTTGTTCGAAGAGGTTCTGAACAATACTGGTAAATAGGGAAGCTAGATAATGGGGCAGATGTTGAAAATAATGAAAGATCCAGGAAGAAAAGATAAACGGATTTTATTCTAAATGGCGTAATTCGAAGTTTTTACCAAAATGCGAGAAATTCGTGAATTTTGAAATTGATTTATAGAATGCGCGAATTTCTCGCGGTAATCATTTTTTAATGAGAGAAAAGAAAAAAATATGCGAGATTCTCGCGTTCTCGCGCTGTAGTGAAAACACTGGTAAACATAATGCATTACATTTCAAGTTCATTTAATGTCAATCATAACTGGAAAACATTGCTGTTTTTCAATTTTGATGACTATAAAAATACCTAAAATTCCCTATGTATAAAATATTTAGTTCATAATACAAAAATTATCATGAAATTTATGTTATTTCGTAAAATCTAGTAGTTTTACTTTGAGAACTATTCAACTGATTTAATTCAAATTTTGCCATTTAAAGTTACATTTGTAGAAATGATGTAAAATTTTGTATCATACAATACAAAATTTTTGTTGACTATTATCAAATAAAACAAAAAATAATAAATAATTTTTAAGAATAATATTTTACATGATAATATCTTTGGGTAAACAAATTTTACAATTGCGGGCAAAAATTGTTTTGAATCACTATAAAGTTCTCAAGATATGACAAAATATGCTGAAAGTTAAATTAACACGGAGTCTAAACTTTTAATAGCTCTCTTGAACAAACTATCAGGACCAAATTTTCTAAATTGAGACTATTTCGAAAGTCAAAAATCTGAATCCATTGATAAAAGGTGTGTTTATTAGGAGGAAGTATATTTTTGTGGCTGATTTTGTGACTTAAAATATTGTTTGCACTAATTAATTTACAGATTTAAGGTTAATTCCTTAATTCTGTTAAGATTGAATCCTAGTAAGTGAAAATCTGATCATTGTATTAAAAGTTATTCAGGATGATTTTTATTTGTTCATTGTAATGTGTTTTTTGAAATTGAAAAGCTCTTTATAAAAAAAGTCATAAATAAATTCTACATTCAAAGGATGCTGAAAGAACATGTAAGTTAACCAGAACATGTAGCTAAGTTAAGTGTATATCATAATTTATATCTTAAAATTTTAGGAGCCTGCTGGTCTCTAAAAACATATTTTATTCAATTGTAATAGTCAAGTGCAAATTTAAATTGGACAACCACAAGTAAATTGTACAAACGAAATAATGATTTAGTAATACATATATTTATTAAAAAAGAACTTTATTGAGCATACCTTTTAAGTGATCAAGGTTTCAGAGAAAATTTCTCAAGAATAAAATATTTTCAGTTTAATATTTTATAACTTAAAAGCTTATTTAGGCTGTTGATTTAGGTTTGTATAATTTAAAATGTTCTCTTCAAATCCATTAGTGAGTTGGTGATAGCAGTGAGCTACAGTGGTAACGAGTAATCTACAGGAAGTTCATTTCTTAACCCAAAATATAAATACGCTTAGGTGTCAATGTTTTTATCTGATTCTAGTTAATAAATAATGCATATTATTGTTTTCCATTATTTTCTGCTTTAATTTCTTAACCCAAAATATAAGTATGCTTAAGTGTCAATGTTTTTATGTGATTATAGTTAATAAATAATGCATATTAATAAATAATAATAATGCATATTAATAATTAATTAATAATAATGCATGTTAATAAATAATAACTCTTATTTTTTATTTACTGTTGTAGAAGAAAAAAAACGAGCAAAAAGAGGAAAAGGAATTTTTCTCCCCTCGAATGGCTTGCGTTTTTCTTCGATTCTATAACCTTGAAGCATCCTGCAGATTTTTCTGCCTTTTATTTCATTATTTTCTCCTTTTTTTATCTCCTTCTTCTCTATCATTTTTGTTTGTTTTTGTATAAGATTTTGTTTGAAAAACCACTTTACTTTATTATATTACTAGGTGGCTCCAGCCTCTGCAAAATATCTCAGCTTTTCCTCTTGGAAAATTATTTTTTTCCCCTTGAAAAATAATTTTTCTTCCCAGGAGAAACTAAACTAACTAATGAAATCTTTTCAAACTAGAACAAAATTTACCCAAAATAAAATTGCTGTTTTTCAGAATAAAAACTTTTGTTTTTATTTAATTTTAAAATTTTACTATTTATTATCTAGAATAAATATCTATAATATCTGATGTGGTAGCTTTCAGCTATGTATTAAATATTTAAACAAATGTATAATGATTGTGTGCACAGAGTTTATGCTTTTAAGTTTATTGATAGGCTTCATGAACGGATATTGATAGGCTTCATGACCGTATGACTTATGTGCAAATTTCAATTATTAGGGGCAGCGTTTATAATCTTCAAAGTACAAGGACACCCTTAATTTAATTAATTTCTTCATATAAAAAGGAAAAATAATTACTTTTTTAGTCTATCTTACTTTTAAATTAGAGATTAGTGAAGTTGTAACCACTATAATTATTGTTACACATCTTAATCATATTTATATTATTGTATCTTATTTAAATATTGGTTGGTAATTATTGTTTTTTTAGGTTTTCAGGTGTTGTTGAAAAATGCAAAAATCTTGCTGTAGACACTCCTTTAGTATGGAATAATGTGGGTGAAATTGTCTATCCACTGGTAAAGAATGATCAGAAAAACCTTCATATTTTAAAAATTTTGCTAGAACCACACATATCCTCTGACACTCTTGAGAAAGTGGTATCTGGGGTATTCCATTGCATTGTTGCCAAAGAGGTAATATGACAATAAAACTTACAAACGTATTTTAACCTGTTGTGTTATTTGCGTAATTTTTTTTTTATGTTTTAGAAGTGTTTAATAGGTGTTCTACCTACAGGTTATGTGTTAAAATGGCTACTTAAGCTCAGCTTTTGTTTTCTTCAGAAATCGCTAAATTCAGTTTCAGAATTGTTTGTTTCTCTTGCTATGGTGCAAATTTCAAGATGTTTTTTAAAATTCTAAATTCTCTTGTTAATTTATTTGTATACTTTTAAAGTTAAATGTTTGACAAAAAAATGAAATTTTTCATAACCCGTCTAAATAATCTAAAAAAAATAATAATAAAATTAAAACTAAGAATTTTTTCAAACACCAGTTAAGTATTTTCTGTACTAATTCAATATTTTCTGAGCCTTTAACATTAATTGCACTTTCTACATAGTGATGATTATTATTGTTTTTTTTTTTTTTTTTTTTTTTTTTTTTTTTNTTTTTTTTTTTTTTTTTAACAATTTGTTTTGTAAGAGCAAGGATATGCCTGATCAGAAATGTACAACAAATAATTCAGGGTGCATAGCGTTTTTAAAAAGTGCTTAAAAGTGCTTATTTTCGATTTTCGTTTTTCAAAAGCCCTTAGAGGTGCTTTTTTCATTGGGTGTTTTTAAAAAGTCCTTAATTTTTCCTTTTTCAAAATGAGATTTTTCCTTTACTATGTTGATTTTTGCTTAGAATTATGCAAAAAGACACAGTTCACATTGTTCTATTCAACGTTTTCACAATTCATTCAACCCCAATCTATTTCGGCACATTTTCTGTCCGTAGCATATAAGAACGCCATTCGTTTCACATGATTCAAAATTTCATGATTTTTGACAATTGTCAAAAACAATGCCAAAAGTTTTTTTTTGACATGACTGTTAAAACAAGATAAAACCGTCAATTTTCAAAAACTTTCCAACCCTGCCTAGTTATGATATTTTTGCTAAGTGCTTAAAAATATTTTTTGAGTGCTTGAAAATTGCTTAAAAGGTGCTTATTTTTTGTTGAATAATTTGGCTATGCACCCTGTAATTTTATTATGAAATTGTTTGAAAATAAGTACAGTGAAACTTCGGTTACGCGGACACTCTTGGGATGGAAAAAATTTTCCATTTACGGGAAGGGTACCCTAATAACGAAATTCAACACCTTAAATTGTTTTTAGAATATTTTCAATGATATAGAAATAATTAGATAATCTACAATAGTTGTCTACAAAGATGTTTATTTAAACATGAAAAATATTTTTTTCTGTACAAAATGAATGTTTGCAAACATTTGATATAAATACATATCTAGATGTAGCTGCAAATAAGCAGTAATACAGTTATTTTAAATTTAATACAGTAGTTTTAAAAACTACATTTTTCAAGTTGGTTGAAAAGGAGAAAATAATTGTGTTATTGTTTCCCTTAAAATGAGAAATGCGGAACTCATTCCTTTTAAAATGTGGGAAGGAGTTTTTACGTAATGATGGAAGTTAATTATGAAAGAGATTCCTTTTGAATCCATCTGAAAAATATACTTTAAAAATTTTTTTTTTTCTTTTTAATTTTGTGTATTCAAGTTTATATCAGAAGTAGTCAGAATTATTATTTTCAATGAAATGGTATTAAAGTTTGCTTGTAGCGCAGTAAAGAAGCAATTAAAACTTGTATTGTCATTAATGTCATACATAGGTCTGTTTAGAAGAAATTTGGGTTAGTTAACGAACCCTTCACAAAATATCTTTTGATAAAAACGGACCTTTCACAAAATAATTTATTTTCTAATCGGACCCTTCACAAATTTGTTTATCTTCATTATTATTTTGTTAATCGAATAAACCCTTCTCCCCGGGGAGGGGGGGGGGAGACGGTTCAAGACAAACTAAGTTTCCCTAAGTTTAAAT